GTGTTGTGAATTGGTGCCATATAAATAAACTGAATTGAATTGATATAATTAAAATGATCGATAATAAAATGAAAGAACTTTGGACTACAAAATTAAGGAAATATTGCTTAAACACCAGTGTCAAAGGGCACTCTAAAAAAATATACTTTTATCTTGAGTTAATGAATCTTTAGGATTTAGTGCTTTTCTGGAAGTTTGCTTCACATTATCAGAGCAGAAAAACTAAAGCTGCTTTGTTTCAGTGTTTGGTTCTGGTTCTGCAGAACAGACCTAAAAGTACATAGTCACACTATTCTCTCATATCTATACTCCACTAAGTTACTCTGGTTGCATACAATGTCATTATAACCAATAACTGTGTCCTGTTGGTGTAATATTTGTAATTTCTCTGTTGCGGCCATTTATGCTAAAAATTTTTAATTTGTCATTCCTACCCACTTAGTTTTCTTCTTTTGGTAGGTAGAATATATTTAAGTTAATTTAGAACCAACATTTTTAATTCATTTGTTATATTTGGAATTGTTTAGGTTACTTGGTTAATTGTTACAGCCTCCTATTAATTGAGATAATTAAGAACACACCGGGTGCTGGTGGATTGGTTGGTAAATGTCTGGTGGGGACAGGAGGTTTTGTAAAACGATTTTTTTGACCACTTTTTTAGAGCTTCAAACATTAATTCAACTTTATTTTTTGTTTCTACTGAGTTGCAAGAAATTTTTAGTTATTATTTTTTTCTTTCTTCTTCTTTTACAACAAATAAGTCAAGTGGGAAGTGCGTACAAAGCCAAAACCCACCTGTTACCACCCACGGCCTTTGTTGGAAATACAGGTATTTTTTGCTCAGTTTGGTAGTAAAAATAGATCTTCTGTGTATATTTACTATTTAAAACATTATTATGTGACCAGTATCTGTGCACATTGAGTCAACAATGCAAAGAAATGGAGAAGACTAGCAGCGTAGTAGAGGAAAAATAAGAAAAGTGTAAAAAAGCGCAAGATGTTTGATTCAAAGAGAGATAAAACTTGATTTGAGCATCAAAAACAGTCTGACTGTTGAAGTCTTGTATTCTGGTGTCACTCTTCATTTTAATAGTGCTACTGGTGTTAGCAGTGCTGTAAAACACTATTCTCAGTGCTGCTGTTTTTTCTCGAGGCATAACGGTCTGGACCTATTTAGATTAACGCATTGACTTGTTTTTCAAGGTCTTACTGAGAGATTAGTCCTTTAACCTGGATATGTTCTTTTAGTGACAAAAGGCCGACTTTGTTACTGGCTTTATGTAGCTCTGAAGATACAGGTGTAAACCCATCACTACACCCAGGGCTAGAGCCTGACAGGTGGTTTCTTGCTGTATGAGCTAAAGTCATGTGCTAACTTTTAATTGTTGACGTATAGCTGTGTGTCATCTGCATTTCGGTAACGTTATCTTGGTGTTTGTTGGTGTTTATCATACCTAAATTAAAGGGAGCATGAAGATATATAGCACAAAGGGACCCAAGATGGATCCTTAGGACACGACATGTGAGCTCTAATGTAAAGTTACCTTCTGCAAGAAAAAGTAGCAAATATCTGAAGAAAGCTGTGAGACACTCAGCTACAGGCAAAGTGTTCAGATGAGTTTTCTGATGTTTAAAGATGTATGCTGAGATAACTTGCTCCTGCTCTATCATGTACTCTGAAAACATACTCAGAAGTTAGTACAGTTTGGGGATAAGATTGTATCCATAACCAAATAAGCCATTAGAAAACAAAAGAGTCAGCATCTTTAGCTGTTTAACTTCAATAATAATGGTTTTATAAGTCTCTCACATTATTATTAATAGTGCGGTTTAGCAGAGATTCATTTAGACCCTGCTACATTAAGGTCTCATAACAGCATTCAGATTGAGCTCTGGACTTTGACTAGGCCGTCATAAAACCTTGATTCTTCTCCTTTTTCCAACTATTCTTCTTTAGAAGTGCTGCTCTGTTTGAGGTCACTGTCTTGTGGTGTAACCCAGGTTTGATCAAGCCTTTAAAAGTTTGTCTTACACGGGGAAATTGATGGTTCATCCAACAAATGCAACCTTTGCAGCAGCGAAACCGGGTGATTGGGTTTGGTTTTCTCAAACGATGCTCTTATTGTGACCAAACATCTCTACTTTGGTCTCATCTCTCTACCGGACGGGTTAGAACCTGCAGCATCTCTCCAAACCAACATCTTGATGCTTTGATGAATTATTAGTATTTTTCTAACTTTACTATCATAAAATATTGAATGATGGACTTTATTTCTATTTTAGAAGAGTCATTAAAACTCTAAATGCATCTCTAAGGTCATTGCTGATTTATTTCTTTCAGAACCAGAAAGCTTTTAAGATATTATTTTTAAAGCAGAGTTTAATCTTGCTGATGATCAATTAATCTGGGCGGTTTAAGTCATTTTCCACTCTAACTCTATTGGAATATTGCCATACGATCCTGGATTTTTATTCCAGGTCGTTTGGCAAACATGAAACCTATTTTTCTTTGTTTTCCTACAATGTACAGTGTATAAAGAATGGCTGAAGGACCTGTGATGGTGTTGACCATTGTGCGGAGGATGGTGGGAGGCTTAATAAGCTCTTTGAGGATGTTGGACTCCGTGGCCAGGGGGAAGCCATTGTCCAGCATCTCCTCCAGCAGCTCGTAGACCACCACCACGTTGTCCTTAATGGCCGCCTCGGTACAAACTCCAAAATAATCCTGGCAACGAGGAAAGAGATGCTAATGATAAGCCAGGTGCTTCAAGGGAGCTAAAGTAATCAGAAAAAGACCAATCGGGCCTCTGACCTGGAAAGTGTCAACGACTCTGTGAAGAAACTCGATGACAAAGAGCGGCGGCACCTCGCTCTGGATGACGGCCACAAAGTAGATGCGGTGTCTGAGCACGCTGATCAGGTAGTGATGCGGCGTCGGGATGACCGGTGGAACGTTCTCCGGCTCGGTGGCGCGCTCCTGGGCCTCAAAGAAGTAATCACACACGGAGCGGCTGACCACACTTTTCCAGTGCTTCTCCAGGAAAATGTCGCCGGAGGCGTTGATCAGGAACAAACTGTGGATCATCTTGACTGGAGCGGATAGTGGAAAAATAAAACGAAAAAAAATCAAAGCTCAGAGGCACAAGAATCAAACTAATCAGCTGGTATCAGTGAATAACGGGGAAAAAAAGAGACTTCTGACAGATTTCCTCATAGATCTAAAGTCTTTCTGTAGCATTTCAGTAAAAAAAAAGACCTCCCCCCTTATGTGTTTGACTTTAAAGGAATAGTACACCCAAAACATGATTAGCCTTCATTTTCTACTCACCCCCATGCTGAACAACACTCTGGAGTACTTTTTTGATATCTCAAATGCATCTGGAGATCTGGGAGGCTTCTTGCTGTCTGCTGACATTCAAATAATGGAGGTCTATGGCGCCCGAGGCAAAAAGGTCCATAAAAGTCCACAAAAAACGTGTCAATATTCCTCCATACTGCTTGTCCAATATATTCCAAGTGTCCTGAGTGGGTAGCGTCCATAATTTACTCGAAACGAAGTCATTTAGAATGTTTTAAGAGCATAAACAGTAGTGTATAGGATTTCCTGAAAGCGCGTTCACGAGGCTACGGAAACCGCGGCAGACCAAACCAGATGAAAGTGCGCATTCAGCGTCTGCTCTGCCGATAATGCAAGCGTAGAAGAAGAAATGTGCTGTTTACCTGTGCAAAGAAAGAAACAACGAAAGAAAAATGTCTGAGGACTTCAGTGTTGAGGAAGAGCATGAGTTCTTTGCCGAGCTGAATGCGCACTTTCATCTGGTTTGGTTTGCCGCGGTTTCCGTAGACTCGTGAACGCGCTTTTAGGAAATCCTATACACTACTGTTTATGCTCTAAAAACATTCTAAATGACTTCGTTTCGAGTAAATTATGGACGCTACCCACTCAGGACACTTGGAATACATTGGACGAGCAGTATGGAGGAATATTGACACGTTTTTTGTGGACTTTTATGGACCTTTCTGCCTCGGGCACCATAGACCTCCATTATTTGAATGTCAGCAGACAGCAAGAAGCCTCCCAGATCTCCAGATGCATTTGAGATATCAAAGAAGTACTCCAGAGTTTTGTTCAGCATGGGGGTGAGTAGAAAATGAAGGCTAATCATGTTTTGGGTGTACTATTCCTTCAAAACTTGCTGCAGATGATGCTGAACAAAATGTTTCATATCCTAGATGTCTCCATCTGGTTGATTCCTTTATTCAAAGTTACATTCTGCTCTCTAACCATTAAACATTTTAACAAACTAAAACTCTCACCTGTCAAAGTTTCCCAAACATTTAATAATGGGTTCTTTTCTCTGCTTCTTTTCAACGGTGTTGCATTAAACTATAGCGACAGTATCAGCTGCTCTGCAGACCCACAAAGGGAACAACTGCTGGGATCAGGCCTATAATAACTCGTTCTGCTCTAGTGGAGAAGGAGGGTGATGAAGCATCAAAAATGGCCTTGATTGTGAGAAATATCTGTCAGGATCCCAGACATGAACTGTAAATATAATACAATAGATCACATTAAGCTACATCACAAGAGTCTTGACCTAATGAAAATGAATGATGGTAATATTAAACTTTTTCAGTAATTTACGAGAGTTAAATTTAAGAGTTAAATTGCATAAAAAACTTGTACATGTTGTATTAAGAATGAAAAGATGAGAATAAAGCATCTTCTGCTAAGATCTCAGGCGATGCATCAGTCAGAGAAAGATCAGTTGTTTTTACAGATTTAGTTGTTCTTAGGATCACCTAATAAAATAAAAAAAGCTGCAGCCATGGCTGTGAATAAATGGCCACAGTAATTTCATTCAGTTGGTTATTTTCCTGTTTTTCCCTTCAGCCCATTCATTCAATCAGATGTACAAGGAACCACGTGCAAATTCCCAGATGAGCATTTTGATCCATTTCAAGATTGCTGTGATCCTAATAATCAGCTTATAAATATTTCATTGTTTGGATGCTGCTGTACAGAAAACATATTAGCAATTTGGGGGTAATTTAAATTAAATTATAGTATATAAAAAAAATAATCACTAATCATCATCCTCAGAAGAACTCTGATGAGTTTCCCTGTGTGATAACACCAGAGGGATGTGTATTAAAACTTGTAGGTACAGAGTATCCATTATTTAAAATAAATGTACAGATTTAAAATAAAACTGATAATGTCAACAAACACCAGGTCATTTTGTTCTATGGGTGATGAACTTTTTCATCATTCTGCTTTATTTCATCTCTATTCTCCCACTCTGCAGAATTTATTATTTCATTCTCTAACGTTATGCTCTCTCTGCTTTATCTCATAGTAGCTTTGCCTCGGCTCAGGTTATCCTGAGCTATCTCTATAGTTATGCTGCTATAGGCTTAGACTGCTGGAGGACATAGGGACCCCTTTTCATCATTCTATCTCTATTTTCCAATTCTATAGGTTTTGTTAGTTCAATCACTAATGTTATGCTCTTTCTGCTTTTTCTCATAGCAGCTTCATTCATTTCAATTCCGTTTATTTATATAGTGCCAATTCACAACGTTTCATCTCAAGGCACTTTACAGTTCTCCAGTTCTTCATCTGGTCGGTTCCTGTATGGCTGTGACACCATCCTGGAGAGAAACATCAGCTGTGCTCCTGCCATCAACACCTTTGTTTACAGATGTTGGAGATCGGTCTGTTTTTCAGTGTGGTCCTGTTTCTCTGGCTGTGACTGGCTAGATGTGCTCTCTTCATCCTCTGACATGGGAGCTGGCTCGGAGCTCATCTGCCTGGCTGTGTGTTTCCTGAATTAGGCCACCTTTCACAGTTGCTTTTTCTATCTCTGCTTCTTTCTCCTTGAACCCCAGATGGCCTCGGCAGATGGCCGCTCACACTGAGCCTGGTTCTGCTGGAGGTTTTTCTCCTGTTAAAAGGGGGTTTTTCCTCTCCACTGTTGCTACAAGCATGCAAACTGGTAGAAAACTAGATAGAAAATTTTTAATCAGTTTGACTGTATGATCTGGTTGAATTGTAAAACCTATATAAACAAACTGAGCCATAAGGGCATGTTTATGTATTTTACAGCTCTGGTTTGAGTCTAACAATTGTCAAATCAAACTATGCCTCATGATGAAGCATGAATGAAGATTAAAACTGTAAGGCTGCAAATTCCAACTTAAACTCTGATCTGTGAACGAATATAAAAGGAGCCTTTTTTAATTGTTGGGAGAAAAGCCGTTCTCTCCTCACATGACATACTTCCAGTTGGGGAACTTGACACCGGATTATTCATTAAACATGTGACAAAAGCTATCCGGTTCGAGGCGGATATACCGGCTGTCAGAGACAAACGAATAAGATTTACATCAATTATCTTAAAGGAAAATAGTCTGCAGCGAGCGAGGAGCTCCGTGTGGCTGTGAGGAGAAGAAAATGAAGGCCTCCATCCGCACACATCAGGATGCTCCATCCGTCCCTCCTCCTGCCTCATGACACAGGAGAAGCTCCTGGACGCGTCCAAATAACCACCTTAGACAGACAAAAACACACAAACTACCAGCCGAAACACTCACTAGTTGGTACTGACTTACCGAGGCGGCGTTTTCTTCCCTACAACAGAAGCCCTTTGCTTTTTTTTTTTTTTTTTTTTCCAAATGAAAGCTTAAACAGTCGAGGCTCCTTCCCGTTAGGAGGAGCAGCGCTCACTACACCCATAGGTTGGAAGCTTGGAGCGAGCCAATCACAGGCCAGATACGACATAAAGTCCCGCCTATTAAATGCACCCATAGGTCACGAACACGGAAGTGAGTTGTAAGAGATTTGGCACTGATTGGTCCATAGCGGTAAACATGAAAAACATCTGTGTGCTGATTGGCTTAAAATGTAACTTAGTCTGACATTTTGTTTCTAATATCAGATTTCATCTTGTGGAGTAGATCTCCATTCAGGACTGCTCTTATTAAAGGAGGCCATTCAGTTGAGGAGTTGCAGAAGTTAATGTTGTTGTTTGGTAGCCATAAAGTAAATAGCATGTAATTTTAAAACGGTGGTGAGACATATAAATGAAATTTGACAGAAGGAAAAAATATGTATTTCTCTAAATTTAAATCTTTGGGTTTTAAAGCAAGTAGATGTTTATTCACTAGAGCTGAGTAGATGTATTCATCAATACTTTTTATATGGAAAGCCAAATAAAATAAAGGCACAACATAGTTACATTACAATACTTATATATATATATATATACATACTGTATATACAATATATATATATATATATATATATATATATATA